AGACCTTCAGGGCCTTCTGTCCCCAAGTCCCAGCTCCTAGGCAGACCTTCGGGGCCTTCTGTCCCCAAGTCCCAGCTCCTAGGCAGACCTTCAGGAATGTCTCTCTAGAGACATTTCTAACTTCCTGTCAGGCCCTAGCTCCTCACTCCCGAGCCTGACCTTCGGTCCTAAGGTCTCCACCCTTCCAGGAACCAGCAAGAAGGACTATAGTCTGGGAAGGAAAAGGTGTCTAGGGCGGGGACTAGGGCAGGGCTATTCCTAGACAAGAGAAATTATGTAGCACTGAGTACCAGAGACAGCTAGGGACAGGAGGCCACTGAGGTCACTACCAGGCCCGGCACTTACCACAAAACATGCACCTAGCATAAACACAGTGACCTGGACTCAGAGCCCAGAGACCCTTTTGGCCTGAGGCCTGAAAATACCCTACCTAGCGCTACAGGCTTGTTCCTGTCCAAATGAAAATGAAGTCTGGTAGGGTGGGGGGCACTCAACTGGTCGAGTGCTGGCCTAGTAGTGTACAGAAGAAGTCCTGTGTTTGATCTCAGCATACAGTGGGAGTCCAGGAGGTAGAGGCAGAAGGATCAGAACATCAAGGTCATCCTGGCTACAATATCACGTTTTTTCTTTTTTCTTTGTAAGATTATCACTATATGTGTGAGAGACACTGTGGGGTGGGAGGAGGTTCGGCACACACACCAACTTAGTGGAGTCTGTTCTCTTTTCACCTCATGTGGTTCTGGGGACAGAACTCACGTCGTCAAGCTTGCATGGCAGCCACCTCTGCCTCCTGAGTCACCTTGCCAGAGCCAACAGATCAAGTTCAGGGCTAGCCTGAGGTACAAAAGACCTTGTCTCAAAAACAAGTTGATAAGCAGCAGGGCATGGTAGCACATATCTGTAACCCCAGCACTCAGAAAGATGATTTCATGTCTGAGACCATTTTGAGCTACAGATTCAAGTTTCAGGCTAGCCAAGGTTAGACCTGTAATCCCAGCCCTTGGAAAATGAGGACAATAGGAACAGATGTTTGAGGTCAGATTCCCTCGGCTACATCAAGAGTTCAAGGCTAGCCTAGGCTGCATATGACAATGCCCCCCCCCCCTCACACACACACCCTTTGTTGAGCCCAAAGAGAGACAAATGAAGCACTGCTGAGAGATACTGCCCATGTTATGGACAGTGGTTGGTCACTGGTGCTGAGTCCCAGGGAAGCCTGGGGTGGAATATTTGTACACTGAGTAAGGATGTGTTCCTGTGATTGGTGTAATAAAAAGCCGAATGGCCAATAACTAGGGAGAAAAGATAGGGTGGGACTTCCGGGCAGAGAAGGAGGAGATAATCAAGGCACATGGGAGACGCCAATGGAACAAATGGGAGATCTGGGACAGAGGAAAGGTAACTGAGCCATGTGATAGAACACAGGTTAACAGAAAGGTTAATTAAGTTATAAGAGCTAGTTAGAAAAAAGGCCTAAGCTAAGGTCAAGCTTTCATAATCAATAATAAGTCTCGCCTGGGAGTGGTGGCATATGCCTTTAATCCCAGTACTGGGGAGGCGGAGGCAGAGGCAGGCAGGTCTCTGTGAGTTCGAGGCCAGCCTGGTCTACAGAGTGAGTTCCAGGACAGCCAGTGCTACACAGAGAACCCCTGTCTCGAAAAACCAAAAAAAAGAAAAAAGAAAATAATAATAATAATAATAATAATCTGTGTCATTATTTGTGAGTTGGTGGCCCAAAGGAAAGCCTGTGAGGCCAGCATGCCAGGAGTCTCCACTTTTAGACTCCAAGTCAAGAGCGTCAACCATTGGCTGGTGCCCTGGGGACCCATCTTCCTCACTTGGTTGGAGCCCAGCTGTGCCCACCGGCTCCCTCCAGATGCAGGGCAGGCTCTGCAGGCAGGAGGAGGAAGCACACTTCCAGCACAGGGCTATAAAGTGGCCATCAAACCCCAATCCCTCACCCCAGAGCTTGACCTTTGTGCCCAACGTCTCCACAATTCCAGGAACCAGCAGCCTGGGGCAGGGCGAGGGCACTCTGCAGCCCTGAGTACCAGTGAGAGCAGGGGACAGGGAGACCTCTGCAGCCAGTCCTGCCTGGAACGGACTCAGTACCAAGTACCCTGCTGTCTCCTGACTCTGAACGCTTCAGAAAGAAGCCACCTTCCTGGGAGTGGCGGCTCACACCTACAATCCTAGTATGAGAGGCTAAGGAAGGATTCTTAGGAATTCAAGGCCAGTCTAGGCTACAGAATAAGACCCAGTTTCAAAAACAAGATGAGGCCACATATCTGTCCTTTTCCAGGCACCCAACAGACGCTCCAGCACGTTCAAACAGGCTCTGGTCACCCTCTGCCCTGGCACAGACTGCGTCCAGCCAGGCAAGTGGAGGCCTGGCGACTTCGCTGTCCCATCTGCCCTGGGCAGGCATGATGTGCCCTACATTCAGGCCTCTGCACAGAGAGGCCTCCCTGAACTAGACCCCCTACCAGCATGGATCCCTTCTGCTTAGGGCTCTTGCTTGCCACAATCTGCACAGGACCATCTGCTAGACATGTGCTTCCTGTGAGACAGAAGTCTCAGGAGAGCAGGAACCACAAACCCAGTGAGCATGCCCAGTGCTTTCCATGATCCATGCAAGGTACACGGATGCCAGATTAATATCAGAGTGGTGACTACCTCCCAACTAAGTAGATTAGATCACATTTAAAAAAAAAAAAAAAAAAAAAAAAAAAAAAAGCAAGAGTTTGGGCTGAGAAAAGGCTCAGTGGTGAAGAGCACTGGCTGTTCTTCTAGAGGACCTGGGCTTGGATCCCAGCACCCACATAGTGCCTCACAACTGTGATTCCAGTTCTAAAGGATGCAACATGCTCTTCTGATCTCTAGGGGCACAGGGCACATATACATACATGCAGGCAAGACACCCACACATGTAAGATAAAATAAATAAACCTAAAGAAAATCAGGAGCTCTGCATATGCAGGCCGGAGTCTTCTCTGAGAACTTCTCCAGAAAGATGAACTTCCTCCCACAGCCCCAGTGTTCTTCAAGACCCTCCAGAGTCTCAGACCCCTGCAGAAACCAGGAGATAGAAGACATCACAGCCCTGCTCCTCCACAGGGGAGTACCAGT